TGTATCACTGTATCACACACTCCCAATTACACAATCACACACACGTCCGGTTCTTCTTTCCGCGACGGCTGCTATACTCCAATGGTAGTCGGCTGACTGGAGAACTGTTGATAACGCACTCGCTCGTTGACGAATTAACTCAGCGATGTCCACATTATAACTCGGCGGCTGTCACCGTACAACTCTGCGGTAGCCACACTAGAACTGGCTCCTAGCTGCTGTGCAGCTCCTTATATATCCGCAGTGGTGCCTGTTGCGTAATGAGTGCCACGTCATAGTAGGAAGTTGATTACGGGTACGTTAGCGTTTCGCGTTACGTCACCGCGGAGGGGCGGGAGGGAGCGCCGCGTTACCGTGCGGAGGAGGGGGAGGGGAGCGCTGACTCACGCGCCGCGTCACTGCTGGTGGGGGATCGTTCTCCTTAGCGCAACATGTCACAATACAGATGGATGCGCAGTAGTTTACTGCGCAAACCTAACCTAAACTAACCTAACCTAACATAAGCGAATGGTACCAAAGGGGACCCCCTGAGATACAGTCGGATGCGCAGTAGTTCATTGCGTACACGTAAGTGTGACGTCATTTGCGAAGCTGCTATTTCACCGAACGTAATATAGGACTGTCGTAACATGGAATATAATTCGAAATATGACGTTATTTATAAAATTGAGCGTGTGGACTTTTTCCACCCATAATATCAATGTGTGCTCTTGTATTCCGATGTTGTATTGCTACGTGATAGTTTAGATTGTGTCGAAAATGCCGCTCCCACCTCACGAGTTTGCGAATCCGCCACGGTGATACAAATGACTACTGAATATTACGTATTATGGCATTATGCTGCCCACCAATGGCATAACGTTATGACGAAAAAACTTTATTATCAGTGAAGTCGTTCCCTTCTTTGTCGTGAATGGATACGGGACGAATTGAGTGACTGCTTGGAATATGTTTCGCCCGAATTTCCCTGCCTGAATAGGAAGTAGAAAATGAATTATATAAGAAAATGTGTAAAAATGGCTTGAAAAATTACCATCCTGTAATGGAACGGATCGTGGAATATTTCTGTTTCAGTCATATTAAGCGGTTGGCTGCCCTGTCACTGTGACGTAAATATCCGGTGTACAAGATGAAGGTATGTTTGTTTCCTGGTATGAAGATGTGTTTATAAATAATTACACGGTGTTGTGTGTGTATGTTTATATACATATATATTCCAGTTGTGATTAATTATCTGCCTGAAAGTATATCTTAAAGATTGAGTGAGACAGTGCAAATGGTAAGCTTTAATGTGTGTATTATCCTGGACCGATTAATGGCGAGTGCACGAAATTTTACAAACTTGTGTTTGGTGTGTTCCACAACGAAATGGAAGTGTTTTCCCTGTGAACCACGAAAGTAAAGTATGCGTGAAGGAAGAATACACCGTAAATTACATTTATCGATTTAACGAAAGTAAGTGCATATAAGAATAGTGTGTGTGTAGTGAAAGACAGTGTGTGTTTGAGGTTATTCATGCACTATTATTATAATCTCGTGTGAAGTGTGTACAGTGATTTGCACAAGATATTTATTAGTGGTTAGTTGGTGTCTCCGCCTTATCGTGGTGAGGGGTTTGAGTATGCTAAGGACCCTGAGAGCTATACCAGCGGCAGCGTAGCTACTGGCAGGGCCTCCCTTGCTGGACAGGTCAAAGGGTAGGCATCAGACGAAGAGAGACACCAAAAACTGATGCCGGAAGCAGCGTCATCAGCAGCGACTTGAAGCACAGAACAAATGATGCTCGAAATGGTTCAAGTTCGTATAGCAACAGGCGTGACCAGAGTGGTTTGAACGGCTGCTGTACTGCGATCTGGAAAGCAAATGGAAAAACTACCACATTATCACTTTTCCTGGATAGTCTCTTTCCAAAAACAGAAGATCGCATTAAGTAGAGGAAATGTTTTGGAAGAGATTGTGGACCTGTCGTCTGACAGATTACTGATGAATGAATGAATATGGATTGAGAGTGAATTAGATTTTATGAGGGCATATTTGGTATGTAGCCTCTGAATATGACAGGTGTGTGTAGGTTATTAGTCAGAATGATATACTTCTTTTTTTGCATTAGTGTATGTACTTGTGAGAAGAGGGTGCAAAGTGAATTTCTAGTTCCCATTGAAGAATTTATTATTTGTATTTACATCGTAGTTTTTTTTTTGATAATGTTGTGGGTATAGTGTATGTTGTTTTGGTCACAATAATGTGGAGTGTAAAGTGAATTTTAAATTCTCTAGTGTGAGGTTATATTTTTGTGTATAATGTATACAGTGAAGTGTAGTGTTTTAAAAGATATTAAGAATTCCATTCACTCACAGTGGATTCAAAAGTTTCCCGTTTTATGTACATACCTTGTTTGCATGAAGAATGCTTGCTTATAAGAAGGTGATATGCAAAGTGAAACACGTGTTGACATTGGTGTTATGCTGGCAGTGCTGTTCAGTGACAGTGTAAACTGGGCACAGTTGTGTGTAGAGTATGTGTTATAGCATGAAGAATGATGGCAAGTGATGTGTAAGAATGTGTATGTGTATTTCTGTGATAGACAAGTGATTGCATTCTTGGCTTCTGATCTTCCAGGCTTACATGTTCTATCTGGTAGTATACAGCATGAGGGAATTATTTTATTTCCACCTATTAAACTGCTTAAAAGTCAAATTGTGTACAGGAAAGCACGAGTTTTAGAGCTGGCATTCTTGTAATTGTAATGTGTAGTTTAGTCTAGAATATATATAGTGATGTGTTGGTTTCTTGTTTTAATGCTTATGAGATTGTTGAAGGATTTTTTCTTAGGTTCAGATCGTAATCAGTGATTTCCCTATCGAATATTTGAGCACTGCTATTTTGGGGTGGATAACTTTCATATAGAGTAGATGTATATCCTTGACATATGTCGAAAAACGTAATAAAGTTAATAATGGAAACATTTGAAAAGAGAATATTTCGGAAACTGTAAGAGTCATTCAAGATATTTGTGATATCATTCATTTGGTAGCGTTCTGCAATGTCAATATTTCGGAAAAAATGCATTTACGACCATTATAATAACGGAAATATATCCCAGGTTACATAGCTTACGTAGTTAGAGTAACAGAAAAATATATGCAAGAGTTTATCATGTGAGAGAATTCGGAAATAAAATGTCCCATATGAATAAATAATGATTTCATACGCTATAAGAGACATTCAATCGTAAGATATTGAAGAGGGCTAAACCGTGCTGAACTGACCATAATTATGCTTAGTATTCATTTGAGCACACCTATCATAATGTACACTCACAACCTAACATTAGTGTAAATTACCGAGCTTCGCCCCCTCCAAGATACAGATGGATGCGCAGTAGTTACTGCGCAAACGTAACTTAACCTAACCTAACCTAACCTAACCGAACCTAACGTAAGCGAATGGTAGTAGCCAAGGGAACCCCCTGAGATACAGTCGGATGCGCAGTAGTTCATTGCGTACACGTAAGTGTGACGTCATTTGCGAAGCTGGTATTTCACCGAACGTAATATAGGACTGTCGTAACGTGGAATATAATTCGAAATATGACGTTATTTATAAAATTGAGCGTGTGGACTGTTTTTCCGCCCATAATATCAATCTTTGCTCTTATATTCCGATGTTATATTGCTACGTGATAGCTTAGATTGTGTCGAAAATGCCGCTCCCACACACGAGTTTGCGAATTCCCCACGGTGATACAAATGACTACTGAATATTAGGTATCATGGCATTATGCTGCCCTCCAATGGCATAACGTTATGACGAAAACTCTTTATTATCAGTGAAGTCGTTCCCTTCTTTGTCGTGAATGGATACGGGACCAATTGAGTGACTGCTTGGCATATGTTTCGCTCGAATTTCTCTGCCTGAATAGGAAGTAGAATATGAGTTATACACGAAAATGTGTAAAAAATAGGTTGAAAAATTACCGTCCTGTAATGGAACTGATAATGGAATATTTCTGTTTCAGTCGTGTTAAGCGTTTAACTGCCCTGTCACTGTGACGTAAATATCCGGTGTACAAGGTGAAGGTATGTTTCTTTCCTGGTGTGAAGGTGTGTTTATAAATAATAAGACGGTGTTGTGTTTGTATGTTTATATACATATATGTTCCAGTTGTGTTTAATTATCTGCCTGAAAGTATATCTTAAAAGATTGAGTGAGATAGTGCAAATGGTAAGCTTTAATGTGTGTATTATCCTAGACCGATTAATGGCGAGAGCACGAGATTTTACAAACTTGTGTTTGGTCTGTTCCACAACGAAATGGAAGTGTTTTCCCTGTGAACCATGAAAGTGAAGTATGTGTGATGGAAGAATACACCATAAATTACATTTATTGATTTAACGAATGTAAGCGCATATAAGAATATTGGGTGTGTACTGAAAGACAATGTGTGTTTGAGGTTCTCATGGTCTCTTTGCTTGCTGATTTCTTATATATTTTTTCTTCTACCCTGAAGATGGAGGCGATACGTTCCTCCGAAACGTCTGTTAACACCACATATACACGGTGCAAAATCCCAGAAGACTGCTTTCTTCATAGTCACCGCCGTGAAAGCCTCAAATCAGTCTGCTTCTGCCGGTTCTCACGGTCTCTTTGCTTGGAGATTTCTTATATATTTTTTCTTCTACCCTGAAGATGGAGGCGATACGTTCTTCCGAAACGTCGGTTAACACCACATATACACGGTGCAAAATCCCAGAAGACTGCTTTCTTCATAGTCACCGCCGTGAAAGCCTCAAATCAGTCTGCTTCTGCCGGTTCTCACGGTCTCTTTGCTTGGAGATTTCTTATATATTTTTTCTTCTACCCTGAAGATGGAGGCGATACGTTCCTCCGAAACGTCGGTTAACACCACATATACACGGTGCAAAATCCCAGAAGACTGCTTTCTTCATAGTCACCGCCGTGAAAGCCTCAAATCTTACAAATGTGTGACTGCTTGGCATATGATTCGCCCGAATTTCCCTGCCTGTTTAGGAAGTAGTATATGAATTATACACGAAAATGTGTTAAAAATAGGTTGAAAAATTACCATCCTCTAATGGAGCTGATAATGGAATAAGCGGTTTTCTGCACTGTCACTGTGACATAAATATCCGGTTTACAACTTGAAGATCGGTTTCTTTCCTGTAATGAAGATGTGTTTATAAATAAACCGATCTTCAAGTTGTAAACCGGATATTTATGTCACAGTGACAGTGCATATAACCGCTTAACATGACTGAATCAGAAATATTCCATTATCAGCTCCATTAGAGGACGGTAATTTTTCAACCTATTTTTAACACATTTTCGTGTATAATTCATATACTACTTCCTAAACAGGCAGGGAAATTCGGGCGAAACATATGCCAAGCAGTCACACATTTGTTAGATTTGAGGCTTTCACGGCGGTGACTATGAAGAAAGCAGTCTTCTGGGATTTTGCACCGTGTATATGTGGTGTTAACCGACGTTTCGGANTGCAGATGGTAAGCTTTAATAATCTCGTGTGCAGTATATGGAGTTATTTACACAAAATGTGTTTTAGGTATTATGTGGATAGAGAGCGAGTTCGATTTTATAAGTGCATATTTGGTATGACAGAAAATATGGTGTTTGTTTTTGTGTGTAGACTGTATATTACTCTTGTGAGTAGGTTATTAGTCAGAACGATATACTTCTTTTGCATTAGTATAAGTACTTGTAATTAGGGTGCAAAGTGAATTTCTAGTTCCCATTGAAGAAATTATTTTTTAATTTATATCTTAGTTGTTTGTGACAGAGGTGTGTGTGTAATGTGTGTTGTTTTGGTGAGAATAATGTCGAGTGTAAATTGAAGTTTAAATTGTCCAGTGTGAGGTTATATTTTTGTGTTTAATATATACAGTGATGTGTAGTGAGGTTTTGTAATGTTCTCAAGAACGTTAAGATTTCCATTCACCCACAGTGGATTCCAAAGTTTCCTCTTTTATATACATACCTTGTTTACAAGAAAGGATTCTTGCTTATAATAAGGTGAAACATGTTGTCACTGGTGTTATATCGACAGTCCTGTTCAGTGAGTGTGTAAAATATGCACAGTGGTGTGTAGAGTATGTG